GTTTGAGGAGTAGGATTTAGTGATTCCTCAGTTACATAGAACACCAAGTGCTCATTACAACAAGTGGCCCCCTTCATACCCATCACCCATTTAGACCATCCTCCCACCTACCTTCTTCCATTGACCCTTGGTTTGTTCTCTATAGTTAAGAGTCTTTCTTATGGCTTGCTTCCCTCTTTTTTTCTTTCTCCTATGTTCATCTGTTTTGTTTCTTAAATTCCAAGTGAGTGAAATCATATGGTGTTTCTCTTTCTCTGACTGAGTTGTTTTGCTTAACATAATACATTCTAGCTCCATCCATGTCATTGCAAGTGGCAAGATTTCATAATTTTGATGGTTGAGTAATATTCCATTGTATACATTCACTCATCTTCATAGGTTAACATCCTACATAACCACAGAACAATGATCAAAACCAGAACGTGAACATGGTTACCATACTATTAACTGGTCTACAGACATTCAGATTTCACCAACTGTTCCATTAACAGCCATTGTCTGATCTAGGATACAATACAGGACCACACATTGTATTTAGTTGTCATGTTTCCTTACTTGTAATCTGAATCTGTTCATCAGTCTTTCTTTGCCTTTCATGACCTTGGCACTTCTGAAGAGCACTGCCCCATTATTTTCTAGAATATTCCTCAGTTGGAATCTTTCTGATGTATCCTCTTGATTAGATTTGCACTGTGTCCTCTTTTGGCAAGAATTCCACTGAAGCGTGTTGTGCCCCTATCAAGCACATAATGTCAGCGTGTCTCATTCTGGTGGCGTTCATTTTCATCACTTGGTTCTGGTGGCACCTGAGTTTCTCCACAGAAAGGCTACCATTTTCCCTTTGTAATGAATGAGCTTCTTATGGGAAAACACTGAGATTATGCAAATATTCTGTTTCTCATTATACTTATGCCCATTAATTTTATTATCCACCCTTGATTCTTGCCTACAATAGTTATTACTGTGGCGTTTGCCAAGTGGTAATTTTCTACTTCAATCATTCCTCCCTCGTTTATTAATCAGCATTCTGCTATAGAGAAGAGCTATTTCTTATCCTATTTATTGATTTAACTGTTTTTAAAATAAAGAATAGGATTTCATGAAGGCAGGGTGTTTGGTACTAACAGATGGGAGAAAAAAGCAAGCAATGGGTGCGTAATGATAACCAGCTTAAGTGAAGGGCCTGTGATCCTAAGTGTCACTTGCTGAGAGCAGAAAATAAAAGTCTTCTGACAGGTTCTGAGGAGGCAGGAGCACAATCAAAGGGCTAGTCAAAGAGGGACATCTTCGGTACAATTGATGGTGGAAGCCTGGCAATGAGTTACAAGGCATCTAAGGACGTCTAAGGTAGGACAGGAGGAGGATGAGTTCATTCATAAAAGGTGAAAAAGGTGCTTCTGTCAACCTTGATGACGAATCAGTGCAAAAAGAATGGTAATCACTTCCGATGGTGCCTAGAGAGGTAAAAAGTGCTGGGAATTTTGTAGGAAAATACAAGGGGCATTCCTTCAGTTAGCAGTAGCTTCACCGTAAAGCATCCATAAGACGTCCTGGAGTCTGAGAAATGAAGGAGTGTAAGCAGCCACTGTTGGAGGGCGGGGCACTCCCGAAAGTGGGAGTCTGGGGGGGCCACTGACCCTTTACACCTGATGCTACCTCAGCCAGGGTGAATCATGCTATCTTGGCCAGGTAACGTTGGGCAGGGCCAGAGTGCTCCTGAGAGTATTTAGCTATTACATAGCTTTCTGCATTATTGCAAAAGAAGAAAGGAAGCATCCAGGGTCTACTGCAACCCCCGGCCCCCACCCCATGGGCCTAGCATGTGGAAATCTGCTCCATGTTTGCAGTTCTCCTCGGCAGTGAGCAGGAGACGTGTGGAGTTGGAGGGAGCACCTGAGGTTAGCCTTATTCCATATTCTCTGCCAGCCTCTCCCCAAAGAAGTCTGGTTTGAGCATCACCTCAGGGCTTGAGTAACCCTCCAAGTATCTTGACAAGGCCGGTCCTAGCCCTCCATGTACATATGCTTGAGATACAGCTTTGGGGACAGCAGGAATTTGAACAAACTAGAACTCCTTTCTGTTCTTTCTTTGGTTGATGAGAACAAAGACCACTTCTGTGAACCCCGTCCCGAGCCTTGTAACGCCATCAGAGCATTAGCGCGTTCTCACCACCAGCCTTTATAGGGTGACTAAGCCTGTCTGACAGGCAGCGGTGGCCGAGACTGGCATGTCTCTCTTTTCTCTAACCCTTAATTGAGGGCTAGCCCTAGCGAGTGGAGATCCCATGTTTCAAATTGGTAAGGAGATACTCCGAGAAAAACCGTGGAAAACCTCCCAAATTCCTTTGCTGAGACACAGAGCATTGAGTCCCTGGTTGGGCTTTTGTGTGGCCAGGAGGGTCGGGACATTGGCCTGAAACCTGTAGCAGAAGAGAGGGGCAGCCCAGTCACCATTGCACCAACCCCCCTGGCTTCCAGAGACTGGATTTTCATTTTTCTACGGAGAGAGAGCACAGTGCTGTGGATTAACAGCAAAGCTTCAGATTCAGACCTGTGTCCACACCTCGGCTCCACCAATGACTATGTGACCTCAGACAAGCCATCTATTCTGTACCTCTGTTTCCTCAACCACAAAATGGTCCTTGGGTAGCACTCAGTGAGTGGCGGCCATGATTAATATTATTGGTGAAACTTGTCCCGTGGCTGTATTCTGATGCTTCTCATCTTGTAGTTCAGAAATCTGGGGTTTTTTCCTCATGATTACTCAGATTGCCTTTTTGCACCCCTGCCATCCACTATTCTCTTATTCTGGGGAAATTAGATAATGTCGACTAGCCAGAGTGTTATGCATATGGGTGCAGTTTATTAAGATATCATCTATTTAAAATGGCATAATATTATATTTAAGTATCAGTGGGTAAAAACCAAAGCAAAGTTCAACAAACCCAAACTACTGCTTGCAACACACAAGTGAAACTTGACTATAGGTTTCTCATTACACTCATTTCACCCTTAACTAATTCACCCCTGTGCCTGGGAGAATCATTCTGGACAGCCACACCACAGCGTGTACTTTGTTTCTTTATTTTTACAAGTGCAGTTTAGTTTCCATTATTTGTGATAATTCTTAATAGCATATATTATACAAATAATGATGACCTAGTATTATGAGACCTTCCTGAAGATCACTGTTATTAAGTCTTGCTGAGAAGTGGGGAATGACTGCCAAACTTTTTATAGGAATTACAGGGTTACTGGGCTTAAAGCAAGGTATGGCGGGACCCAGCAGTTCAAGACAAATACACAAGACTGGTAAAGTCAGGTCTAGAGGCGGGTGTGAAGAAGGAAATTAGTGGACAGGAAGTACTGTTCAAGGGCTAGGTGCCAAGAACCTCATAGAATTTCTGTGAAAGAATCACTTGCATTAATTATGTACTGTGATTCCCTTAAAGTAAGGGTAAGAAGTCTTTGCCCAATCCAGATATATGCCTATACTGAAGAATGAAGGAGTGTGTGTGTGTGTGTGTGTGTGTGTGTGTGTGTCCCCTCTAATTTCCTGGAAGATCAGAACAAAGATAGAAAGTCAGAGGCACTGTGCTTAAGAATCATCACCAATAAGCAGTGTTCTTAAAAGCCCAACCGTGCGTGGAGTTTGGAATCTTGCCCTGAATATTTCTCAGGATTCTATTGAAATATCCTCTTTGTCAGTAAGTTTCTCATACAGCCTAGAGAAGGAAGTTATAGGCACGGTGTTAGACCAGCTAATATCCACAATAGCTCCAGCGGGAGGGGGGTGGGGGAGTGACATGTGTTCAACCTCTACTTTCTCCCTAAGAAACTAATCTGTGGCAATGTGCTCTTGCCTAGCTTCTGAACATGTGCCCACTAAACCCTTAGAGAGTAGCAACTTGTGCCAGGCAGGTAAAAAATGATAGTTTTTATTATTTTATTCCATGTGAACCTCCTAGTGTGTGGAAAGGTGATTAAAACTTTCTACGGCCTGATTTATTTTCATGCCAATTTGCAAGGCTGCCTTAGCATTTCTACATTCCTTATAATTTGAGCATTTATTACCTACTTTACAAGGCACTTGTGTAATATGATATCAGACTTGAAAGTGGTATTGTATGTACAGAAACTCTATTAATAAAAATTACTAAGTAGTTGCTCTTTGTTGATAGTAAAAGGAGACTCACTAATACATAGGACGAAAGATTCCTCTGTGCACAGTGACTGATTTAGCAATTTGGAGATTCTTTTTTCTGGTTTAGCCATCTGAGAGACTGACTTTGACAAGCTCCCTTGGACAAACTTATCTCAGCTACTAACTTGTCCCTTCCGATCCAGGTATTTTTGATTTGGACACATGAAAGAGTCTCTATATGAGTTTTACAAAACTTACATCAAGCTATGTTTTAAATCACTGCCCTACAGGGGTGCCTGGGTGGCTCAGTCGGTTCAGTGTCTGACTCTTGGTTTCGGCTCAGGTCGTGATCTCATTGTTCATGAGTTCAAGCCCCACATCGGGCTCTGCGCTGACAATGTGGACCCTGCTTGGGGTTTTCTCTCTCCCTCTCTCTCTCTGCCCCTACCCCGCTTGCTCTCTCTGTCTCTCTCAAAATAAATAAATAAATAAACTTTTAAAAAATTAAAAAAAAAATCACTGTCCTACAGAATGTTGACCTGGTCAATGCAAGTGCTGTGTTGACCATGAGACCCGTATGTAGCTATAATATCCCTCACTCCACTGACAAACCAAATGGAATAAACTGAGTTTAGGTTGCCTCTCTCACAGTGTATTTCCTCTCAAAGCATTTGTAACCTCCCTCTCAGACCTCAAATTCTGTGAAAGAACTGGAACCTAAAATGATCACCTCAATTGACTCTGTCTGCAAGCGATGCAAATATCCGTCCTCCCCCTGATCCCATTTCCATTCCAGAAATTAAATTAGCAAGATGTGCTGAGTGGATGCTACCCCAGCCCGCAGAGTGTGATCTTACCCAGCCAAGTAGGGTGTGATGCCCAGAGACATTGATGGGCTGTGGCTTCTCCTCCTCTCCCTCCTTGAGTCATCTTCACAAAGAAGGAGCTAAAACAGTGGTTCGCAAAGTTTAGCCCTCAGGCCAGCAGCATCAATAGCATATGTTATAAATGCAGATTCTCAGGTCCCACCCCAGACCTACAGAATCAGAATCCCTGGGGTTGGGAGCCCACTGTATCTTCGCCCTGAGGGTGGAGAAAGACTGATGGAGAGAAATAGTCCCATGCCTGACGGCCAGAGGGTATTTGCCACCAAGATTTCTTTTTAACTACAAATTTGCCCTGAGTCCAAGACCCTAGCATTTTCAAAGAATTCACACGAGGTTTTGTTTATTTGTACACGTTTTTTCTGATGCTCGGCTAAATTATGCCTAATTCAAATCCAGAATGAATTCAGCTTGACCTATTCCCATTTTTTTTTTTTTAGTTTAAAATTCATAGCAATCTTTACCCAACTCCCTCTGTTTTATTTCCTTCTCAGACAATCAAACACTACTCTTCTGACTAATCCCAACTCATTTTCCATTCTCACAGGAAACAAAAAAACAAAATTAAAGAAATAAATGTTAGGAATACATCAAAGACCACATACAAGGTGCCCATTACACCTTCCTGCTGTAAAGCCTTCCTGGACACAACCCCTCTGAATTTTAATTCTCAAAAATAATTCTAGCAATTGCTTTCACACATGTAACATATATGTGTAATTATGTGTAATGTATGAAAGTCAAGTATTTAATCCTTATGTGGTTCATCCTTGATCAGAGCATTAGGGTTATTGGAGGAAACAAAGAATCTTATCGATGAGTCTCATAATCCCATTTCTCAGATGAGGAAACTGAGGCACAGAAAGCTTGACTAGATAGAAACATTAGGCAGAAGTCTCCTTTTTGGTTAGCTCGAAATGAAAACCTCTTAACGTCAAATTTCCAATTCAAATACATTATAATCAAATAAATGATTACACTCCATCTCTTGTATTTATGAATAAAATTCGGATTATTCATGTGCACAGTGTGAGACTTGAATGTAATCATTATTATCAGCAGCATTTATTAAGCAGCTACATAGGATACAGCACTTACCTTTAGTCTATGGGAGTGACAAAGGAAGTAAGAGGTTTTCATCTGTGATCTGGAAAAGCCTAGAGGAAATGGGGGCAAATGAAAATTATACAAATGAAAACACACACAGGTGATATACAAATAAACATACACTTCAGTGGCAGAGAGATAGTGCTCGCCAAATATTCTCTTTCTTGCCCCACATTCCCAGCCTCCCTTGCAGTTAGATTGGCCACAGGATTAGTTCTAATTGACCGTGAGCAAAGGCCAAGGCACCTGCTCGAGGCACCTGCACGTCCCCTCCATCCCTTTGTTTCCCCTCTATGGCAACCTTGGAGGCCATGTATTCCACATGGTGAAGCTGCAAAATAAGGAGGGAGGGCTGCCCAACCCGCGTTAAGTGCTGACCTGAGAGAGAAATAAAACATTATTGTATTAAGCCTTTGAGAATTGGGATTTTTCTACTGCAGCACCTCATGTTAATTACCCTGACTAATTCAACCTGGAAATGTAAAGCTGTGCTATGCACCTGCACTTCCCCTCCAATTCACACTCCCCTCATCAGGAATGCCCCCTACCACCTCCTTTGTCCATGTAACCGAATCCTAATCTTTTACAACCTAAGTCAAATGCCAAGTCACTTCATTCATTAGACAAATATTTTTGCACACCTAGTATGTATCAGGTATGCATTCCTTCTTGAGGATTCAACTCAGACAGGCACACCCATGCCCTGATTTCACAGAGCTTAGACTACATCAGGGAAGAAAGAAAATCTAACAAGTAATTATACTCCATTCCCCGAACAGAAGTAATTTCTTCCTCCTCTGAGCTTCGGCAGATCCTCAGACACACTTAGCCCTTTCTATCCTTCAGGACTGTTGTTGGTAACATTGTCTCCCTTGCCTGCCAGGTGGTAAGCACTTGGATGGTAGGGGATTGATTTTATTTATGTGTGAGTCTGCCACAGCCTTTTGCAGGTGGGAGACTCTCTGTAAACAATGACTGAGGACATAGATGGAGGGATATGTTAGGTGTGTGCAAGCAATTGCTAGAATTATTTTTGAGAATTAAAATTCAGAGGGGGTGTGTCCATGAAGACTTTATGGTGACTCTTCAGGAGCATCTGATTGTGATCTAAGAATTGATAATTAGTATTTTCCTCCAATGTACGGGCACGTAGGAAACACTTCATACATATATTAAATGAATGAACTGAATGAATGCGTTATCCACTTCCGTATTGATCAATGGCTCTCCTGATTGAATGAATTCCTACCCTAAGGTATCTTCAGTAAATGAAGGAGACATACCATGCATTTTTATGGTAAATGAAGACATTTCCAAGCCCACAGAGCAGCTGGAACATTTTTTTATCTTGAAAAATCAATAGACTTTCACTGTTTCTGGTCATTTAAACCAAGTCAAATGTAATTTTCTTTATAAAGTAAAACTCAGTTGGCAAAGTTAAGAAGGCTCTTGTTTAAAGTGTGGTGAACTTCTATAAGATATGAATTGGTGATCTTCTTAGGATTCTGCTAATCTAAAATAATTTGCAGGATTGAAAGAAAGTACACCAACTTTCATAGTAATCTAATGAGCTCAATTTTCCAAAGCTTCTACCTTTCATAAAAAAACAAAATGGGGTGCCTGGATGGTTCAATCAGGTAAGCGTCTGACTCTTGATTTCGGCTCAGGTCATGATCTCATGTTTCATGAGACTGAGCCCCGCATGGGGCTCTGCACTGACAGGACGGAGCCTGCTGGGGATCCTCTCTTTCTCTCTCTCTCTCTCTCTGCCCCTCCCTGATCATGCATTCTCTCTTTCTCAAAATAATAAATAAGTAAACAATTAAAAAAGAAAACAAAGGAAAAAAACACCAAAATGAGGACTGAAAGAAGGTATTTTTATACTAAAATTTAGTTCCATTTTAGGAAAACAGTTGGCTAAAATGTTTTATTAAAAATTGTAAGACAGTTGGGGAAATTATATTTTTTCTTTGTTTCCCACCATCCTTCACTGTTTTCTGTGGAGGACCACCAAGGATGTGCCATCATTTTGTATCTCTTATATTTTCCGGTATGCTTTTCTGTTGTTAATGCGCTAACCACTATGTGATATCCTAGGTGAAGTTTTTAACCAGCATATAACAATATCACTTGGGAATATTGGTTAAATAGTCATTTGTGTACACTGATTTCATATTTCTAAGCACTAATGTTTTTGCTTTTGAAACGTGACTCTGCATCTTAAATTTCTACAAGTGGTGATTAAATTATTAAGGCTGGAGGGGCGCCTGGGTGGCGCAGTCGGTTAAGCGTCCGACTTCAGCCAGGTCACGATCTCGCGGTCCGTGAGTTCGAGCCCCGCGTCGGGCTCTGGGCTGATGGCTCGGAGCCTGGAGCCTGTTTCCAATTCTGTGTCTCCCTCTCTCTCTGCCCCTCCCCTGTTCATGCTCTGTCTCTCTCTGTCCCAAAAATAAAATAAACGTTGAAAAAAAAATTAAAAAAAAATTATTAAGGCTGGATTTGTCCTCCAATAGACATAAAGAGATTACCTTACTCTATAATAATGCTATTCAGTAAATACAAAATAGAAACTGCTGGGGTTTGTTTTAAGGGTCAAAAGAAGCACAAATGTAAGTTACATTAGAGAGAAGTACATAGTAACAGTAGTAACATATGCTAATGACTTGCACCTTTTAATTAATGGAGTTGTTTATCGGGCTCCAGCCAGCCAGGCAGGAGTCTCTCCTATTATTTTTGGAGGCGTACAATCTTGCAAATTTAAAGTTGTTAGTTGTTATGTATGGGACAAATCCAGTGAGCTCCGTGTAATTCAGAGGAGCCCTTCCAAGCCTGAAGATTCATTTCAATTGTAGATATTAGTAAGATGTGTATTTTTACCATGTCCTTTCCCACCTGGTCTTGTGTGTTTCCTGATTTCTAGACCACTGTTGACATTGAAACTCATGTTAATTTTGGGCCTTCTCAATGATGTGACATGAAATAAATTAGAACTATCCTGAGTGAATGTGTAGAAAACAGGTCGGCTCTTTCAAAATACTTATTTCTGTAAATGAAGGAATTAAAATAAATGGGTTTTCCTCCCACTGAGGTCTGTTAAAGTGAAGGTTTCTTGAGGGCCTATTGCACTCAAATGACTTCAGTTCAAATCCATAGAAAATATGAAGAATGAACGGATGGGTAAGAAACCTGGGTGGCCAAATCAGGCATTTTAGTGGAGTAGATCACAGAGTCCACAGAGTTTAGTGGAGTAGATCACAGAGTCCCAGATTATTTTTTTTTTCAAGGTTTTAAGTAATCTCTATACCCAACATGGGGCTTGAACTCACAATCCTGAGAATAAGAGTCTCATGTTCCAGTGACTGAGCCAGACAGGTGCCCCACAGAATCCCAGAGTCGTAAAGCTAGAAGGAACCATAAACAGCTACATGGATGTAGGACTTATGGCTGAGCAAGCAAGAGGCCGTGGTGAAGTAATGACATAAGCTAAGGTTACCGGCTAAGAAGTCAGCTTGAAGCAAAGTCTGAGACCTACTTCAGGTCAAGGGATCTTTCACCCATCAGGCCTCCTCCTTTAATATCTTGAGTGAAATCTGTCTGTGTGAAATCCCCATCTAATTGTTTTCCAAACTCTCTGCTAATAGGGCCATGGTTAACAATGGCACAGCCACTCAGTGAAATATTATGCAGCCATTAAAGATAATATTTACAAAGGCCAAGTAATAACACAGAAAAGTGGCCAGAAGGTAATGATTAAAAAAAAAAAAAAAAGGAGCAGGAAATAAAGCTGTGTATGTAGTATAATGACAATTTTCTTAAGTTTATTTATTTATTTTGAGAGAGATGGAGAGGGAGAGGGCGCTCGTGAAAACGGGCTGGAAGGGCAGAGAGCGAGGGGGAGAGAGAGAGAATCCCAAGCAGGCTCCTCACTGTCACTGCAGAGCCTGACGCAGGGCTCGAACCCACCAACCGTGAGATCATGACCTGAGCCACAGTCGGATGCCTAACCGACTGAGCCACCCAGGGGCCCCACATATCCTGGTTTAAAGTGGAAAAGTAAAAACTGTTCTGCTTTGTTCAAAGACGACTAAGGCAAAGTCCTTTTACCATGGGTCTAAAGATGTTTTCTGGAGCAGAATAAACACTCAAGCAGCAAGTACAAGCCATCTACTCGGGAAGTTGAAATGAGGGCGCTAGTGGGCTTTTTTCATGCAGTGGGGGCTGGCCCAGGAGTCTAGAGAATGACCCGGGACCCCACACTCAGCGTGTGCCCTGGAAGACAGGCATATTGAAAAGGAGCCGGAGAGGGCATTTCTCCCAGAGAAGACAAACCCATAACTAGAATTCTGCCCAAGCACCAGGGAGCAGACTTGAGCATTGTGCAGACAGGCTCCGGATCCTGAGAAATCAGGGCCTGACTGAAAGGGGAACTCCTGTGCTCCTCACATCGCTTGGTTACTCATTTAAATAGTTACTATGAAACCTTCTGAAGCAGTCGGCTTTCACTATCCCTCTGCTGACACTGGATCCAGAACACCGTCTCTTCCGTCATGCTGTTCAGCCCTTCCAAGTTCTCTCCAGTGTTGGATTCCCAATGGCCTTTCACTTGGCCTCCCTGCGCTCCCCGAGGTGGATGCTAACATTTCTTTTCTAACAACATTATTGAGGCATAGTTCACCAGAAATGAACTGCACATTCTTAAAATCTGCATTTTGAAGAGTTTTCACAAATGTATAGACCCATGAAATCACAACTGCTAACAAGACCCTAACTTTCCATCACTACAAAAGATCCTTCGTGTGTCTTTGCTTTCCATCCCTTCTGGCTTCCCCCCTCCTCCAACACCTCTCCGCACTTCACTGGTTGCCCAGTATTCATCTGCTTTCTGTTATTATAGATTACCTTTCATTTTCCAAACATTTGTTATCAGTGGAATAATACAGTATATACTCTTTCGTATCTGTTTTACTTAACTCCCAATAATGGTTTTGATATTATTCAAGTTGTTAAAGGCATGAGTAGATGGTTCCTTTTTATTGGTAATTAGTATTTCATTGTTTATTCACCAGTTGATGGACATTGGGGTTGTTTCCATTTGGGGGGTATTCCAGTAAAGCTGCTATGAAAACTCAGTACGAACGAGTCTTTGTGTGGACATATGTTTCCATTTCTCTTGGGTAAATGCCTCAGGGTGGAGTGGCGAGGTTACATGTTAGGCATAGGTTTATTTATACCTTTTCAAGAAAACACCATTTTCCCTTTTAGGTACCCAGAGCAGTGTATGAGGGTTCCAGTGGGTCCACATCCTTGCCACCACTTGGTATAGTCTTCAGCCACGCTAGTGGGTACATACGGGCATTTCGTGGTGGGTCATGCGTCCCATCCTGGGCTCCCTGTGAAAGAAAGCCCGGAGGAAGACTGCTAGCACCCCCTGCTACTCCAGCTTTTCGAGTGGATGGTTTGTTCTTCGTATTTCAGTGTTTGTTCTGCTCTAGAAACATCTTTAGACTCTCCATAGAAGGGCTTGGCTTCTGCCTGAAAATGATGCCAAATGCTTCTTTTCTAGAGCTTCCTCTTCTGTCCTAATCATGAAGCAAGTCAGCACTCATTGACTTTTTACTCTATTCATTTGTTAGGGCTGCCGGAGACAAACAGCACAAATGTGGTGGCTTCAAATGACGGAAATTCATTCTCTGACAGTTCTGGAGGCCAGACGTCCAAAACCAAGGTGTGGGCCGGGCTGGTTGCTTCTGGGGACTGTGAGGGAGAATCCAGTCCACGCCTTCCCTCTCTCTTTTCTGGTGGCTTCCACAGTCCTTAGTGCTCCTTGGCTTGTGACCACATTACTCCAATCCTGCCTCTGTCTTCATGTGACCCTTCTCCTCTTGGGTGTCTCCTCCGTGTGTCTGTCTCAAACCTCCCTCTGCCTCTCTCATGAGGACACTTGGCATAGGATTTAGGGCCTACCTGGAAAACCCACGATGATCTCATCTCAAGATCCCGAATCACATCAGAAAAGACCCTGTTTTCAGATAAGGTAAGATCTGCCAGTTCTAGGAATTTGACATGGCTATCTTTTGGGGGATCATTTTTCAACCTCCCACACTTGCTAAGAACTAGGTACCATGCTAGACATTATGATGACAATTTGATGTCCTCAAAAAAGAAAAAACTCATGAAGTATTACTCCTATTTTTCAGGCAATACAGTCTTAAAGAAGTATCTTGTTCAAGCACAGTGCCAATTAGAGGTAGAACCAGTCATCAAACCCAGTTTTTCCTGCTTCCTATATTGTTCTTTGCCTCTCTACCACAGAGATTTTAAAACCTCCAGAATCCTGAAAATCCCATCTAAAATGCATTTAATTGGGGCGCCTGGGTGGCTCAGTCGATTAAGCGACCAACTTCGGCTCAGGTCATGATCTCATAGTTCATGAGCTCAAGCCCCGTGTCGAGCTCTGTGCTGATAGCTCAGAGCCTGGAGCCTGCTTCCGATTCTGCTGTCTCCCTCTCTCTGCACCTCCCCTGCTCATGCTCTGTCTCTGTCTCCCAAAAAATATATAAATGTTAAATAAAAATAAAATGTATTTAATTAAGTGGATTCTTGGAGTTAGACCTACCAATTTTGCTCCCTTATTGAATGTTCTAAATGGTCTTTGGCTCAGTGGTTCTTAATCCTGGCTACACAGCAGATTCACTCGGAGAGCTTTTTAGAAGCAATTGATGCCCAGTTGACCCCTGAACCACTAAGCCAGATTCTTTGGGGGGTGGGGAATTGTCTAGTTTCTTGGAAGCCCCTCAGGTAATCCTTTTGTATAGCTGGGATTGAGGAACCCTGGGATGCTTTACTAAACCTGTGGCTTCCACGCTGTATACTGTTTTCTTTGGAAGTCCTCTGAGATAGGTTAATTCTATTTAATGATCAGAAATGACCCTCCATCTCAAAGCCCAATTCCTGTTTTATACTTACCCACCAAGTCCCTGGAAACTGAAAGATGAGTGACTTAGATTATTAGCTCATTGGCTTATCAGTTTAAGTCCTCTATATAGGAATGAATGAATGAGCTTACTACATACATCTGCCCACTTTCTCTGGCTCTTTTGGTCAATCATCACCAAAGTGCTTCCTGAAGAGAGAGATCTTATAGACCTTTATCTGTAGGAAGTTACGTATCAAAATTGCATCACCAAAAACTTCACACAGAAAGACCCATCAAAGTAACATGGAGTCCATTGTAATGTTTCTTCTTTATATTAAGAAAGGCATCTCGTTTTCTTCTTTTGCATAATTAGAAGTGGCTGGGTGGATTTCATCTGATATTTTTTTCTCAAAAAAAAAAAAAAAAACTGCCTAAGGATTAAAAAGCAAGCATGGAAAAATTTATCTCCAAAGTAAATATTTGGTAGATAGCTGTGGTACCTTAATATTTGCTCCTTTGAACACAGTAATTAGGGAATTTAGATACCTATGTTGATATACTTCAAATGTTCATCTGGAATATCTTATTATGTGTTCTGTATTTGTCAGTGCAGTTCCCATGTGGTTTTGAATATGACTCTGTTGGCCTTTCTTGTACTCAGTATTTTATTCCAATTTCCCTCCCCTGACGCACTTCAGCCGAGAAGTCCCCGGTTTTCAGGTTGGTCTGTGAAAAACTTACTATGTGTAATCATTTTGGGTTCGCTCCCTTGTATTATAAAAGAGCCTCTTTGCATATTTTCCATAGAGAACGAAGGGCCACTCAGGGCTGCTCGTCAGATTCACTTTTGTCTGTGTGATCTACCCACTTTGGGAAGACCTAGGAGGAGAAGTTTGGTGTGGTTACCAAGTAATCTCTGAGTTCTTTCCAAGCTGAAGTCTCTTTTGCAGAATACTCGACTGATAGTAGTAAGTTGTAATCAAATCAAATCAAATCAAATGCCTGAAGTTGGGGCCTGCTGAATGAAAGCGTCCCTGGCAGGGCCCTTCTGTGGAATAAGAAAAGTTTCTGCATGAAGAATGTGTCACGGGGGTGCCTGGGTGGCTCAGTCAGTTAAGTGTCAGCTTCAGCTCGGGTCATGATCTCATGGCTTGTGGGTTCGAGCGCCACATGGGGCACTGTGCTGACAATGTGGAGCCTGCTTGAGATTCTCTCTCTTTCCCTCTCTCTCTGCCCCTCCCTCCCTCACGCTTTCTCTCTCTCTCAAAAATAAATAAATAAACTTAAAAAAAAAAACACTTGTCTTCTAAAAAAAAAAGAAAGAAAGAAAAGAATGTGTCATAGATCTGTTCTCTGCCTAGATGCACAGAAAAATGGACCCAGGGTCCTGCACGGTAATCATACAACCTTATTCCCTAGTGCAACTCCAGGGAATCTGAGTAGGCTCTTGAAAACAATAGCTCCCCAGGGAACTACTTTCTGAAAGAATTGTGCAACTTCATTTTTTCCAGAAAGGATTCAGCAGGGACATTTCTTAAAATTTCCCCTCTGGATGTGCCGAGAGGGCAGGCCTCACCTGTATGAATGGTTGGAAAGAGAAGTTCCAGAAAACGCAATTGGAGGCTTGCCAAGAGAATCTGCATTGTAACTCTGTGCTCAAATGCCCAATGGGTAGAGGGTGTGTCCTGAAAAAAAAGTGAGCACATAATAATTTTCCATTTAGTCACATAATAAGTACAGTTCCCACAGTCAGTTGGTTTGGGTTGTTCGGGCCATGGCAGAACTGATTGGAAAGCCACAAACTTGACCTGAGTTAGTTACTAACAAGGCCAAAAGCAAGGGAAAGAGACATTTCAGAGACCAGTGAGTTTGGCCAGATTTATTACTGAATCAGAGGTCGATACAAGGGTTCCAATGACTCTTAGGGTATCAGACTTTAAGTGCCCAGAAGTCACTAGTCAACTGGGCAAATCAGTGTAGTGACAGTCTTACTTGATCACAAACAATGGATATTTCTCCATTTTATTTGACCTTAAAGAGGGTTGGCCATCATCTATCACTCACTTACGTTGGGGAAACACATTGCTTACAGGGAGCAATAAATATTTATAAAACGTGGCCTTTGCCTTAGGGGATTTTGCAGCCTCAATGAAGAACACATCATTAGTTCATTGATAGAGCTTGGATAAGTAACAACATGTAGAGCAGAAAGATCTTTCTTTGGGAGTCTTTTTAAAATTTTTTTTTCAACGTTTATTTATTTTTGGGACAGAGAGAGACAGAGCATGAACGGGGGAGGGGCAGAGAGAGAGGGAGACACAGCATCGGAAACAGGCTCCAGGCTCCGAGCCATCAGCCCAGAGCCCGACGCGGGGCTTGAACTCACGCACCGCGAGATCGTGACCTGGCTGAAGTCGGACGCTTAACCAACTGCGCCACCCAGGCGCCCCTCTTTGGGAGTCTTAAAAGGAAGCAAAGTGTCGGTGGCAAACAGGCACCTATGTCTTCATCCTCCAGGAGGCCAGATGCTAGATGTGATGGGTGGCTGAGGGGAACCCAGTCTCATAGAGGATGAAAACAGAAGCCAGAATAATGGCACAGGGCAGGTACTTACTATATGTTTGCCAAACAATCATAGTATTAAGCCACTGCTATAGGACTCTTTCAGTGAGCATCAAAATACCCACTTAAATTTATTTAAACAAAAAAGGGGGGATAGGAAATTTATTAATGTTCCTGAAAAACTCAGAACTGCACACAGGCATTGCTGGATGCAGGTACTCAAAACACTCAGATTGCAGTCTTTCACTTCTTAATGTCGACTATGACTCTTATCAGCATCAACTGGGTGTTTTATAACATAAATTCTTAGAGTTGGAAGGGGCTTTAGGGGATACTTGGCAACCACTCCAAATTCTTCCTCATGTGTTGCTCTAAGCTAAGCACGGCCCATTGAATCCACTTTGGGTCATGTCCCCATTCTTATACCAACCATCGTAGGTAGGAGAGATGAAATGTTTTGATTGGCCAGGCATGTTCGTATGCTACTGCCATCCCACATCCAGGGGGGTTATGCATGAAAAATATGAAAATACGGTCTTTGTCCAGAAGAAGAGGTAATGGACGTGAGGCCAGAAGAGAAAATAAATCTCCACTATAAATATCATATGCTGTGTATTTTCTAAGTGTTAAGAACTGTGCAAAGAGCTTTATAAATGATACAACATTTTATCTACTCAACAATCCCTTGAAGGTAGGATGATAGTCAAAATATTTACACAGTCACCTGTGAATCAGAACAAATGTGGGAAGGCCCCTACACACCTGGAACAGGATCTGGAAGCCCATACTGCACTGGGCATTAACCCCTTATTTACTGGATCATGAGGACATCTGAAGAAGGGAAGTCTTATGGGAGAAACCAAGACAGCTGGGTGATGGGAAAGCACAGAGGGCTTGAGGCAGGCAGGAGAGCCCTAGTAAATGTTCCAGAAGTATTTCATTCTTTTCTAATGGCTGGTGTGGTCATATTAATGCATATAAGAAAGTTGATAGTCATAGATGTAGGGAGTATCTCTAGGTTACAAATGAGGAAACTCTATCACAGAGGTTAAATAACTTGTTCAAAGTCACTTTAGTAAATTGTAGGACAAAATTCAATGCAGATCTATATGACACTAAAACTCATGCCCTGCAAAGAATTAGAGTAATCCAGAGAGCCTCCATATATTATAGTAAGTGTCTCTATATAAGCACGTCTTGCTCTTGAGTGAGAAATGGGAGGCTACCCTGAAAGACCCATGTGGACCCAATGTACCAGAGTGGCTTTTATGGGTGAGACAGAACTCATGAAGATGCCCAGAAGCCCAAAGCTCCACCTTCCCATCCCCCACTCCATTACCATGGTTACTATTCCATTAAATGCTACTGGGTTATTTAAATGTTCAAGGTCTGGTTCTGGGGATAAAAAAACATAAAATTAGTGGCACAAGCACCGGTCATTTCTTACATCATTTCATGTACAATCTTAACTTTGCTGCAAAAATCCGCAGGAAAGAAAATCTCTTGACAGAAAAGCCAAAAGTTCTTTGAGCATATTTTAGCAGTGATTAAGAATCATTTTTTTTAAAGTCGATTCTGGAATGTAAGCCGCTCCCAGCCCTCACCACATTGCAAATTTCTCCAAAGCAAGTATAAGCATTAGGGAATATAGAGTTGGTCTTTCTGTAGGTTTTGAGATTGGGAATGATTTCATTCTTTCCCTAACATTGTGGTAGTCACCAGAAGAGCATGGGTGAGTAAAATAATGTCCTTAGATTGTCATTGAGTGGTGGAAACAAGTAGAAAAAAACCCCAAGAATTATAACAGATTATTAGTGTTTGCTAAATGTGAAGGGGTTTTACATGATGGTCTTTGAAGTCATACAGCGTGGGTTAGGATCCCAGCTCCACTACTTACTGGCTGTGTGAACTTGGACTTGGCATTTAAACAAGCCGAGGTTTAGTTTCCTAATCTGTGACATGGGGGTATAATAGTATCACCCTCATACGGCTGTTTTGAGGATCCAGGAAACAATGCATGTAAAGGTTTAGCACAGTATCTGGTATATTTTATACCAAGTACTCTGAGAATAATCATGAAACAGAGAAATGTGAAGAAGACCAGAGACTTGGTGAAAGCTTCTTGGAAGAACTGTTGCGTGGATGAATTTTGGAGGCTAAATAAGAATTGAAGAGATGAAGGAGGAGGAGGAGCACTAAGGTAAGAAGTGCCAGGTAAGGAAGCACCAGTTAAGTAACGTAAGGAGCGTCACTATAAGAAGACAACAGACACCATGATGTTAGCAGGATGCCGGCTAGGAGGAAGGGAGAGATGAGGTGGAGAGACAGATGATGACATATGTACGGGGCCTGTGAGACATGTTTTATGTCTGTCATTGGGTCTGTAGCAGTGCCCAGCATAATGCTTATGTGTGGATGAGTGAGCGAATGAATGAATGAATGAATGAAACTATATCTTACATTTCTAAAGCTGTGAGGAAGTGGTGGTGGAGAAAATCTTTGCTGCCAGCCCCTCCACATTCCCATCATAAAAAAAGGCAAATTCTACAAAGATGCTGGGGTGGGCAATCTCGTGACAATGAGGCCTAGAGAAGGGCAACAATGGGAAGTTGTTAGAACCACACTGCTGGTGCAGGGGGAGAGGTAGTGTCTGTGCCCATTAGGGGGTGGATTTGGGAGGAAGAGCTATAGTCATGGGTGGGGACGCAGATACTACCAGACATGCTTCCCTGAAGCAGGAAGGGAAAAGGAAGCTCTAACCTCCATTTCCCACTTTTCTGGCCCATCAATCTTCTGATGAAGCCTCCCACTGGCCAAACCAACTGGAGGTCAGCCCTCAAAGCAGCCCAAGAGTGTTTTGTTTTGTTTTGTTTTTTCCAAGCAGGACAGAGAAGAAGAGAATGGATGAAGATGAAAAGTGTCAAATGGAGAACAATCACCACAGATACCAAGATCATTAACAGATCTTAAGATGTGGTTGGTCTATTGTGAAGCCTGCTTACTGTGACTTAACTCCAAGCGACGTGAATCCACATTTTAAAATATTGTAACGTGAAACTGGGCCACTTTCTTTCACCATACACAAAAATAAACTCAAAATGGATTTAAGACCTAACTGTGAAACCCGAAACCATAAAAATCCATGAAGAGAGCATAGGCAGTAATTTCTCTGACATCGGCCACAGCAACATTTTTCTAGTTATGTCTCCTGAGGCTAAGGGAAATAAAAGCAAAAATAAACTATTGGGACTATATCAAAATAAAAAGCTTCTGCTCAGCAAAGGAAATAATCAACAGAACTAAAAGGCAACCTAGTGAATGGGAGAAGATACCTGTAAATGACATATCCAACGAAGGGTTAGTACCCAAAATATATAAAGAACTCGTACAACTTAATACCCAAAAACCAAATAATTGAATTAAAATGGGCAGAAGACATAAATAGACATTTCTCTGAAGAAAACATCCAGATGGCCAACAGACACATGAAAAGATGTTCAACATCACTCATCAGGGAAATGTAAATCAAAACTACAATGAGATATTACATCACATTTGTCAGAATGGTTAAAATTAAAAAAAAAACACACACACACAAGAAACAAGCATTGGAGAAGATGTGGAGAGAAAGGAACCCTCTTGTACTATTGTTGGGAATGCAAACTAGTGCAGCCACTGTGGAAAACAGTATGAGATTCCTCAAAAAGTTAAAGACAGAACTACCCCACAATCCAGTAATCGTACTATTGGATATTTACCCCAAAAATACAAAAACACTAATTCAAAGGGATACATACATCCCTATGTTTATTGCAGCATTGTTTATAAAAGTCAAACTATGGAATCATCTAAGTGTCTATCAATAGATCAGTGGATAAAGCAGATGTGATATACATACACAATAGAATATTATTTAGCCATAAAAAAGAATGAAATCTTGCCATTTGCAATGACGTGGATGGAGCTAGAGAGTATTATGTTATGCAAAATGATTCAGTCAGAGAAAGACAAATGCCACATGATTTCACTCATATATGGAATTTAAGAAACAAAACAAATGAGTAAAGGAAAAAAAGAGGGAGGGAGAGAGAGAAATCAAGAAACAGACTCTTAACTATAGAGA